CCTAGGGTTGGGCCTGTGGTTGGGGCCCGCCCCCCGCAGCAGCTTGGGATCCACTCACCTAGCTGTGTTGTCTCAGTTTATATCCAGGGCTTTGTCGGGGCTGCTGGGACAAAGGTCAGCAACAGGTCTGCGGCTATCCTCAGGTCTCTGGTTCTCTAAGTGGGTATGGTTTTTGTATGTCACATATACCTTAGTGAACAGTGAAGGTGATTTTTATTTTTTAAAGAATTGCATTTGGAAAAAATGAAACTTTCTGATTCTAATTCTTGCTCATGCTATATAATATGAAAGCTATAATGTTTTGACCTGCCACTGAAGTAGGCACAGTAGTGATAGGTATATTGTAGGCACTCAAGATACAGCTGCTGAATATGTGCCTATTTTCATAGAGATTTTCTTTTAAGGAATTCCTTAGACTTGCTTACCTATATTCCTCTTTGTAAATGAGTATCAGTCTGTCTCTAATGGGTTATGAGAGCTAGTAATTCCTGAAGGTGAGATTGTGAGAAAATGAGTATTAGCTCTCTCAGCATCACTTTCATCCTGCTCAGGCCTTTTAAATGGGTTATTTTTCAAGATACCACATAAAGCTTAAAGTGCAAAGCTGTTCAATTAAAACTTTGCTTTTGAGGAGTGAAATACAACATATGTAAAAATACTGAATTTTACAACACTGATCTGTTTGAGGGCGCTAGGGAATTCATCTGTAATTGAAATCTGCTCACTCCAGAAGTTATGTTTCCTCATTTGCAGGGATTTTTGGATGCCTGTGAGAAGGGCCCTCTCTCTGGTCACAAACTTTCCGGAGTCCGATTTATCCTGCAAGATGGAGCGCATCACATGGTTGATTCCAATGAAATCTCTTTCATCCGAGCAGGAGAAGGTGCTCTCAAACAAGGTAAACTGGGCTGCCCCCTGCAGGGCCCTGGGACAGTGCTGTGTATTCTGCCCACGAGCACAGGGCAGCACGCCAGGCACAGCCTCCCCAGACACTAGCGAGCAGAAACAGGCGTGGCTTGTTGCTCTCTCAAAGAGTCAGAAACCTACCTTGTTCCAAATTGTCTGCTTATTTTTCATGTTTAAATTCATAAGTAATATGTAAGTTCTGTTTCAAATACAGAAGACAGAAATGCTCAGAATTTTCAAAATATTTTAAAGAAGCATTCTATTTTTAGTGCCTTACTCAGATATAAGGAAATCCTTAAATTTATCAATAATTTTTAAATCTATGTTATAGGCTTTTTTAAGGTTTTTTGATGTTGGCAAAATATTTTGAAAGAATTTGCAAACCTTAAGTTTAGATTTTTTATTGTTGATTTTTATATAAAATACACTAAACATGATTAGAAGACTGATGAGCCAAAATAGTCATAACATATCATTTTGTAAGCATCCTGTAAATCAGGATTGTTTTGATTCTGAATGAATTTTTGACTTTATGCTGTTTTGGTCTGTTTATACCAGATGTAGGACAATGGTTGGAGAAGGTCACTCCTTTTTTGCTCAGGTTGTTGATTTCTTATTTAAACTAATGGAAACGATTAGTAATTTGTACTCCTATCTGTTGGCTGTGAGAGGAAGACTCCCTTATTTTCTGTATGAATGCTCTCTATTAAAAAAGCCGTTGAAATCTGTGATACAGAAATCTAGTTATAATCTGAAAATCATTTTAATAGGAAAAGGGGAGATAAAGTCTTATAAGTACAGTTAAAACAAACAAAAAAGTCACTTACCTTATGTTGATTCTTGACTGGAAATTGGTAATTTTCCCGAAGATAGAGGTAACATAAAGGCGCATAACTCAATAAAGTTATCATATAACAAAGACCCTCTACCTTTTAAAGGTCCAGAGGTTTATATGGTCTGAAGAGAAACCAGAATATGAGATCTACATCTTTTTAATCATTCTGTGTGAATTTGAGCAGGAAACTCAGACCTGACTCCTAGATCTCAGCCATCTCCAGTCACAATCTCTCTACCATCTGGCCTGATGTTATTGACATCAATTTCTAGTGGGCTGAATTAGAAACATCGTTACCTACTCTTACATTAGGCTTAAAAGGTTCTATTTTTAACCTTCTTTAAGGAACTACAAGCCACATGAATTTGCTTGGAGAAAAATTGCTTTTGGGATTTTTTGGGGGATTTTTTTCTGTAGTCACATGACTACGGAAAAGGCCCTGCATTCAGTCTTTCACATGGAGTAGGAGTAGATCAAGGCATAAGTAAGGCCAGATTCAAGAGAACTGAGTCTGGAGGTGGCTAGAGAAAGAAAGAGGGAGTTGAAAGGGGGGAGCAGGGTGAGTAAGAATGAACCTGAGAACTGTACGGCTTGTCCTCAACAATAAAGTGATGAACGAGTTCCTTTTTATATAGGCCCCTTTCACTGTCTAGCTGTTTGTCACTGACCTACTGGACACCAAGTCTGTAAGTAAATCTTACTATGCCTGCGCACGTCTCTCTTCTTGAGTGTCTTCCATATTCACTGGCTTTTGTTTGAATCCAAGGGAGACTTTGGGTAACCCAAGAAGTCTTATGAAACAGCTGTTTCTACAGTCCAGATTTGTTAGATTGCTGCTTTCAAGATCCATCTTAGCCTTCGAAGCTAAGGTGTTGTCATTGTTCAGCCTGAAAAAGGAAAGACAGTTCTCATGTGTGACTTGATTATTGTCTTCAGATATATGAAGAAGTGCCCTTAGCTTCACTGCTGCCCATGAAACAGTTAAATATCATAGTGAAAGGTAATTTTCTGGGCCCTCCCTGGTGGCGCAACAGGTAAAAGTGCAGCACTGTGAAGCTAGCAGCAGTGCTTGGGTGCTAGTTCGATCCCCCCCTGGGAGGCCACCCATGTGGTGCAGCAAACCTTGCCTGACCCACCCGCAGCTCCCCTCAGCAGTGTACTCCCCTCAGCAGAGCGGGGAGCAGTACACTGTTCTGCTCCCCGCTCTGTCTCTGGTGAATCCTCTCACCCCCTGCACCTCTGGCCTGTACCCCTGTTCTGTGTGCATAAATAAATAAATCTTAAAAAAAATAAAAAGGTAATTTTCTGCCAGGGACCAATAAGAAGTAGGTTTCCTTTGGTCAGAAACTTTATAGTGTCTTACTATGAAGATTTTCAGAAAGAATTAACTTTCAACTGGTTGTCCAGATAGAAAAAGACTTGAGTGTTGTTTTATTCTCGCAGCTTAATGACTCTTAAGAATAAAAACATCCTAGTGGAAATACTAGAATTAAGAGTCTTTAGAGATTTAAGAGAGAAACCATTCCTACAACTAGGAAAATGAGCCCAGATCAAATATTTTAGCCTCATTATTTCTCTTTGTACCTATGGGAGAGCATCTTGAGGCTCACTTTTTGTGCATCTTTATAGAAGAGAATTCTAGTTTATTAAAAAAACAATTTTTTTTTTAACTCAGCCTTGGCAGATGCAACATTATGTATTCTTGAACCTATAATGTCTGTGGAAGTTGTAGCCCCAAATGAATTTCAGGGAGCAGTGATTGCAGGAATTAATCGGCGCCATGGGGTAATCACGGGACAAGATGGAATTGAGGATTATTTCACACTGTATGCAGATGTAAGTACAAGTGGTCACTCTGCTTTTTATCTATCATAGGAGGACTCAGGTTTGACTTATATGCATGCCAATTTCTATATATTTGTTGGAGAGCAACTCTTGAGTGTAAAGCTAAAAATAAGATTCATGTAGACCTTTTGTGAATGTCATTTTTTTTTTCCATCTTATAGTTTCTTTCTCAGGATAACTTTACTTGCATAACTACTTTCTTGTGTTCACTTATTTATTTTGGGATATTTTAATCTCTGCCGCTACCTTACTTGGCTTAAATCTCAGTAGAGAAAGTATTCTAGCACATTACATAAGGCTCTTAGAAGACACTGTCACTCTTAGCATATCAATGAGGTGTCTAACGGAAAGTTGTGTTAACATTTCTCAGAGGAAGCACTTCTAAATGCTTGTGTTTTGACCAAAGAGTGGAATAGGGGTGAGTGGGGAGGCTGCCAAAGGTATATGCTCTATGAAACTAGAAGATTTGATTTCTAGTTGTGGCTCACTTAAAGTTATTTTCAGGTAGTGTTTCTTCTTGGAGTAAAGCAAAAATGTGTTTCTTTGGCTTTTAATTATTTTAAACCAAGGATAGTTCGTAGAACCAAAATACAGGCGATTTAAATGGCTAAGACTTTTTTTTCTCAAATATTTTTCATTAAGCAGTAATAAAGTATTGTTTTATTTTTAGGTCCCGCTAAATGATATGTTTGGTTATTCCACTGAATTAAGATCATGTACAGAGGTAAGTGTTTAAACCTTAATTCACTGCTCTTTACGAAACCACTTACAAATGATCAAATTTGTAAAATGTTGTTTTGCATGACTTGATAATTGTTAAAAAACTAAACCAAAGACTTTGCCATTTCTGTTTGTTTTATACTCTTAGGGAAAGGGAGAATACACAATGGAGTATTGCAGATATCAGCCATGTTCACCATCCACACAAGAAGACCTCATTAATAAATATTTGGAATCTACGGGTCAACTTCCAGTAAAAAAAGGAAAAGCCAAAAACTAATTTTCCTCACTTTAGGTTAACTGACTTGAACTGAACTGCAAAGTTTAGATACTTTCATAGATTCCAGTGGAATGAATTCAGACTGAAATAAGAAAATTTAGAAGCTCTTCCTATTATTTTGAGGAGCTATTACTATAGTGTATGTCTGTATGTAGCATCTCAACACCATTGATTTGGTTTTAGAATTCAGTGAAGAAATATATATTTAATATTTATTTAAGGAGGAAAGAGACTAATTTCAATTAAGGTTAAAATGTGTATAAAATTTCCAGATGTACCATACGGATTTTCAACAAAAGAAATGAAAAAAGTACAAAGAACCACCATATACTTCCATCTTGACTCCAGAGTGAACAATTTTGTTCACAGTTTATTAGATAAATATCCATCATCCATCTCTCCATGTCTTATACGCGTATATTTTTTAAATTTTAAAAAATTATTGTTTTGCTGAATACTTGGGTAAATTGCTTGTATCACAACTTCTTGGGATATAATCTCTTAACGGAAGGCATTTTTGTATGATTGGATTACATGCGGTTTTGAGAAAGGATGTTTTTCAAATTCTTCACTGTGATATTAAAAGGCTAGCTAGATTTCCAGCTTTTTATATATAACTGATGGTATCAAATTGTGGCTTCTGCAAACTTACTTCATGCTCTTAGGAATACTCCTGAGAGTATAAAATGGGTTTCTTACAGATATATGGAGTGAAAAATGAACCAATTGGGTATGCTATTCTTGTCTGGTCACCTGTTTCTTGCAGCTTTGAATAATAAAATATTATTTACAGAATGGCTGCCACGTTGATTTCATTTTCCTAGTAAATGTTGGTTGGATTTAAGTCTGTTGGAATTTATCATGTTGTATTCATTGAGATTGTGAAAGAACAGGTGTTAAACTTTGATTTCCATAGTGGACTTTCCAAGCACTTCTACCATATTGCTCAGAATTGTTTGATGCAAAATGTTACTTAATCATTAAAATTATTCATTATAATTATTAAGATACTAAAAGATTAGCCATCACAGGAAATTTAGTATGTTATTATAATGCTTTTGACACCTTGTTTTGGTGTTTATTTAGGAAATTTCCCTTAGAGAAGCTCATTTGGTTTTAGAGTAAGCATTACCACATAGGTGAAGTATCCAATTTTTCTCTAAATTTTTTTTTCAGGTGTTTCAGAATACTTAGGCTCTCTAAATCAAATGATATAGGGGTGATGTATGCAAGCAGTTGGGTTGCTAAATAGAAACATAAACGGGTTTTTAAATACAAATATAAGTGATCCATTAGTATCTGGTGTCTGATACTAATTTTGAGAGGCAACTGATGACCATATCTACTAGGTCATTTCTTAGGGAGGTACTTCTGAGTATCAGTATGGTACATAGTGTATTTGCTTTTTAAAATTTCTTGGACCAATAGTGGGTCTAAGTGTTGGTCTTAGACCCCACTGACATTTGTAAATATTTGACACTCTTAATTGATTGTTTCACTTGATACATTTTTGTGGACAAGGCTAGATAAGTAAGGCATTACATATTTTTATTTGTAAAATTTGAATTAAGCAACATTAAAAGTTCATCTCTTTCCAGTTTAGTACAAATTTTGCCAATGAAATCTCTACAAACTCATGTAACACATTTAGAAAAGCGCAAACATTTGCTTAAAAGTAGCTATCAAGTTGAAAAAGAATGTTTGCTGGAAATCATAATAACACTCCTCTTAAACACATACACTTAACTACAATTTGCTGTCTTGACATATATTATCTTTTTTACATAGTAGACAAGCAATTTAGCAACAAAATAGTTGGCTACACTATGTTCAAAATAAGGAGAAATAAAGATTTAGAGGCGAGACTGTCAGTTTTGTTTTGAATACTGATCTTGCTGCAGCAGATACTGACTGGACTTTCTATTTCAGGGCTGATAACCCTGGGGACTTGGGGGTGACTGAAGAGCATCAGGCAGAATTCAGTATGAGGTGCTCCTAGAGTAGAGGACTGAACCAGTCCAATCAGAAACAAAGCCCCCAACTTTCATAGTATGTACTTAAAATCATAAACTTTCCCAAATTATTAGACTATCCTATACTATTAACTATTTCACTAGATGATTTAGGTTATTTACTAGTACAGACATTTTGTTTAAAATTTGGTGTAAAGAGATGTTTTTTCTTTTCAGAGATTACTGAGATCAGTTAGAGCCATAGCTGACCCTTCTTCAGTTGCAGAAGCTTCTTCAGTTGTCTGTAGCTCTTGACAGTGGTACTTCACTTTCAGTGGTTTGCCCGGGTACCAGACCAGGTGAATTCGACAGGGAATGATTTCCTAGAAAATTAAGAGTTCAAAATATTATAACCTGCAAAGATTTCTGGTAAGAACAGTTCTATATATCACTTTATATTTTACCTGTGTTGAGAACTCATGGAGTAAAACATTATAATCAAAATCAACCGCATCATTGCTTGTACTCTAGAGAAAGGAAAAAAAAAGTTAGTGTGATAATCAAGGAGGTTTTTTAGCTCCAAATTTGGAACACTTATACACATTCGTGTTTGGGACCGGTGCCTTGATTCTCCTCCATTCCTGCCTCTTTTCTTTTGGAAGTATCCTGCGTCAAGATGAAGTCATCTAGTCATGAATTAATGTTCTGTCACTGAGTTAATGAAACTGTAGGTGAATGTTATCATTTTCCTCTCGAATGTATGGGTTTTGATTGGAAACTAAGGTCTGTGGAGATAGGAGTCTTTTGACAACCACAGGAATCTAGATGCTGTGCCTGCACCTCAGGCTGATAGGATGTGTGGCCAAGACAAGGGCATATCAGGCAGCACTTCTAGAAAACCTAATGTGGGCCCAGGTCTGTGCCGCAGCACTTCATGTCTGCTCTCATGTAATCCTGACTGTCTTACAAGAGTTTGTGTTAGGATTTCACAGGGAGGTAATGAGGTGACAGCTAGTAAGTCCATAACTGGAAGATACAAACTTAGATTCACTGACTGTAACACATTGTTCAGTGCTAACCACACTGCTTCTGAAACCAGGGCAGGAAGGTAGTCTTCCGCATTTCTTTATTTTCTTGAATACTGTTAAGTTTTACTAGCGACTAAACCAATTTCCTATTTCTTTTTGACAATTCCTGGAGTTTTGTTTGGTTAAAAATGTTTATCCCTTTCCTAATAAAAATGGAAGAGATGAAATTGAAAAAAATAAATTCTATCAGGTTTTCTATTGAGACTGCTAAAGATTATGAAAAAGCAAACAAAGGACCTCACATTAGGTTTATGACTTCCTGTCCCTTACATTGATGGCGATATTTCCAAGCCTTACAATTTCCAGCTCTGGGGGAAAGTGCTGAAAGAAGACACAAACAGGGCCTGAGTGAGTGAGAAATGGACTGTTTTCCTGTGTCATACCCCTTCCATCATTGTGTAGCTCTCCTTCCTGCCTGGGTTGTGCCAGTGAAACATATCCGAGGCACAGATTGCAGTGTCTGAATTCATGAGAGTAAATTCAGTTAGGACATGCTCTGGGACTCAGCCTGTTGTGTTGTTGGCGTTTGGGGGAGACGTGTATTTAGCCTTGGTCAGCCCTCATTTTGTGCCTGTCTTGACCTTGAAGGAAATGGTCCTCCCAGAATCTTCTATCCTGCTGGCTGTGGGGTTGTATGGTTTCTGTCTCGGGCTGTTGTACAGCCTGTTTACCATTTTTCTATAATTAAAAAATTGATTTTATTTATAAACTCAATGTTTTTTCAGGACAGTGTTCTCCTCTGCTTTTGAAAATAGCATTTCTGAAGGAAACCATAGCACATTCCAGATTTTAGGCCAAAAAAAGAGGAACTTAAAACTCCAACTCCATTTGACACAGTGGTCCCTTTTTTCGTACAAAAATTTGGATCCTTACAAGACATAGGACCCCTGCACCATTTAATTGAGACCTTCCTCAAAGAAGTTATTGAAATAAACCCATACATTTCTATTTTTATAACTTCAGAGGTACCCTTGAACCAAAAATTAGGTTAGGGCTCCTTATAGAACCGCAGAGGGGGACTGCACATCCCAGCCTGGCAAAGGATCAAGGGTCGGTGGCCCTCACCCAGTCAGCTTCTGCCAAGAAGCCATTAATTTTAATATTATTCAGAAATAATCTCCTTGGCTTCCATTCAAAACATCACGATGCCAAATGCTTATAGTCCAAATTGATGATACACTTTCCAATTCCTGGTAACTCAGCACTTGAGTCTTCCTTGAGACGACTGGAAGAGTTTTGTTTGTTCCCTTTCATTTATTTGTGATTCACTCCACTCTCCACCCTCCCCTCACCCCCCAAAAAAGATGATCATTGCAGAACTAGTGTGGTCTTACTAGAGAGAGACAGGCTCAGATTAGTAATATATGCTATCATAAGCGATGTGTTCGCTAAGTAAGGTAGACAATGTACCCTGTCCAGCGGGCACCTCTGGTCAGAGTAAAGGTGTACCGCTGCAGGTTAGAGAGTTGGGTGGCAGCAGACTGCGGGTTGGAACAATGCTCCCTCCTTCTCTCAGTTCATAATTCAGGCTGGGGCTGTGGGGAAAGGCCTTGGCCTAGGCCCAGTGGCACTGGTATTGACATCCCTTCTTCAATTCCAAGGCAGCAATTGTGCTGTGGTTTGGTCTTACTAAGATTTGAATTTCAGTCCTTTCTTAGATCATTTGTCTCTCAGCCTTGTTCATTTGGGACTGTAAGTATATGTAAATCTCAACTCCCTTCAGCAGTCACTTCGGGCTGAGAACTCTCCAGAATAGTTTGGAACACTGTAACCCCTCACTCCTGTTTCCTGAGGCTACAAAGCCTCTGTCACTGCCTGCTTTGTGCCATCCTGTCTTCACTGAACCTCCATTCTGCATCCAGCCTCTTTGGACAATCCTTGGCCCTGTGCAGCCTAGTGGCTTTTCTAAATTGTTGCTTGTTTTTACTTGTTGCCTATCTGGTTCTTTTGCTAAAAAATCCCAGGAATCCTTCATGACCACCGAATAGCAGAATTTGGAAATGGATACTTTAAGAGAACTCCAAGGTAAAATGCTTAACATCCTTGAAACTAAAGTTCCCAGTTGCATCATTGATTTAGATTTATGTATCAAGGGCTTCTATAAATCTGTTCATCCTCATTAAATAAACCCCAAGAAAGGGAGTGATCTGCTGTGGCTGAACTAGCAAGATATGTGTTCTATTATTACTTTTTAAAACCCAAACCCCTCCCAAGTTAAAAACACCTGAATCATAGCTGGACTTTTCCCCTCCACACATTTGTTTTTCTAGCTCTACAATGACCATGTCTCGGCCTTTTGGCTAAGATCAAGTGTACCTCTACAGACATTTGCCCCGACCGCCCCTCTTCCAGGCTGCTTAGTGGGGATATGACAACATCAGAGGCCAGCTAGAGCCATGTGTGTCCAGGTGGTTAGTGCGGGAAGAATGAGTTATGTGTGACTGCAGAGGGAGCACAGACTTTAAAGTAACCCTGATGTGCTCCCCCTGCATCGTTTTTTTTTTTTTTTTTTTAGATTCAGAAGACGGCATACGAGATGTCGAGCAGTGACTGGAGTTCAGACGTGTGCTTTTTAGATTTATTCATCCACACAGAACTGGGGTACAGACCAGAGGTGCAGGGGCAGTGAGAGGATTCACCAGAGAGGAGTGGGGAGCAGAACAGGCACATCAGTGATGTACACTGCTGAGGGGAGCAGCGGGCGGATCCGGAGAGGCCTGCCGTGCCATGTGGGTCACCTCTGGGATGGGGATTGAACTTGCACCGAAGCAGCCAGCTCTGCATTGCTGAATCTTAATCTGCTGCGCAACTAGTAGGGCCCGTTGTTGTATTTCTGATGAGTTTTCCTCTCACATTCATCACAATTAGTGTATCTTGGCACCATTTTCTACACTATAAAATTTTTTTCCTCTGACTTTCCAGCACTAAAAGGAAGTTGTTGGTGAAATAATCATCATGTAGGTGAAGGGGCAGAAGGGGGCGGGGGCTTGGAAGAGAAAAAGGAAGGGAGGGGAAAGAGGAAGAGATGGGATGAGAAATCATTACCTCAGTAGGAACTTGAGCTGTCTCCAGCTCATAGAGCACTAGCTAACTGAATGGTGGTCTCTGGGAAAGCACACTGAGGAGGAAGAACAACGCTCACTTTCTTAAAGAGAAAAGGCTTTGTTTCGGGCTGCCTGTTTTGCAGGAGGATTTTGAAGGTACACAGAGCTCTTCTGGCATTAACACTGGGACTTGGGCAATTCCTCTGCCAGCAGATGTTCCCCCCAAGACCTGGTCAGCCCTGGGCTCATACCACCTCACCTGCCGTGCAGACAAATCTTTGGAAAGGTCTCAGCTCTCCAGCTGGTTCTGCTGCCTCGCTCGGTGAAGCTGGTTTTCTTCAGTCCCCTCTTCCTGTATCATGTTTTGACCTATACCCCAATTCTGGCTAAGCCCTCCTCTCCACCTTCCCTGTGCCCACACCTATCAGCAACTGGGGTGGGGTGACTGGTCCCCCCCCCCCAAGGGCCTGCAGTCCTGCCTGTTGTTACCGTGTCCTCTCCACATTCCTCCTACATCACCTCTTTCTTGGCTGATGACTTCACCTTGGTTTCACTGGGACAGGAGCATAGAGCTTCCAGGGGCTGCCGCCCTGACATCCGCCCTGCCTCACCTGTGCTATTCTCTTCCTGGGGTGACTCCCAGACCCTGTCTCAGTGTATCTCTTGGGTGGTCTCATCCTCTCAGCTGCTCAGAGATCCTTCAACAATTCTTCCTTCTCTCCCTAAAGGCCTACTTTGACCTCTCCCCTGGATTTTTCTACATCTCCCAACCTAGTAATATAACAGAAAACTTCCTTGAGTTTCCTACCCATGCTCCAGGCACAGCCCCTCCCTTACTCTCCCGCCCCCTGTAGCTAAGTTATTGAAATCAATTTAGTGCTCACTTCTCGCTGTCCTCTCCTGAACCCAGCACCAATCAGGCTTGATGACTGTGCTATGAGGTCGCTCTGACAAGCTCTTGAGAAACCACTCTCCAGCTGCCAGATGCAAAGCCGATTCCAGTTCTCATCCTACCAGACTTCCAGCAGCATGTAGTTGTCAGTCCTCATCCTTCAAATGCTTGCTTTTCTGGGATCTCCAGCTTTCAGAGTTAGAAGTTTGCCAGAACACAAGCCTTTCATTACTTCTGCCCCTGTCTACATTCATTCTCTGGTTTCATCCATCTGTGGCTTTACATTCTATCTTAGACCTCTCCCTGAACTTTAGACACTTCCATCCAAATGACTGTACAGCTCTCTGGTGGTCACAGGATTTAGTATATCCCAAATCAAGCTAACTCCACCACCTCCCACCCCAAATCTGTTCTTGTATTTTTTTCCTGGTCAGTATATGAAAACAACTTTGCACTACTCAGGCCAAAGCCCAAATATCCAATCTTGACTTCTCCTTTCTCAGCCACCTCCTCAGCAAGCATTGTCAGTCTGCCTTTCAGATGACATCCCAACTCCCAGCACCTTCACTCTGCACCCGGCACAAGGTCCCACGAGACCCTGCCTCTACCGTACTTCAAAGGAAGGCCATACTTCACTGGTCTCCTGCCTCCGTGGTTTACTATTCTAAGACAGGTCTTGTCACACCTCTGCAAAAAATCCTCTGTCAGTAAAAGAAAAGTTCATCTCTGGGCCTCTAAGGTGTTCCATGGAGGAGCCCTTCATTTTGCCACCCCCCCCCCCAATACTTTTCCAGTCATACTGTCTCACTGCTCGTTGTCCCCCATCTACCGCTTTGTTGCGTCAGTTCTGAAATGCTCTTCCCTCTTGGAAGTCTGCCCACTGTCACTTCCGTTACCCCACTATTCAATTAGAAGGCCTGTCTGCTGTGTAAATGATTTAATACCCTGCATTCCCTACCGTGTCTCGCACAGGCCAACATATGATACACACCTGCTTGTCTGCTTTCTCATCTTCTCTCACTACGATGACTCTCATTGAGGGCAACAACGCTGGGTTTTGTTCTCTGTTCTATATTCTCAGTCTAGATTAATACCTGGTCCATTGCAGGAACTCAGTTTTTGATCAAATAAGTTGAAATGCCATAAAATTGAAAATTCAGGTTAGCTTTAAAAACCAGGCCAGTTGTGTCTCTGGCAGCACCTGTTCTTTGCTGCTCTCTTACCCACTGCTTCACCCTGCTGATCTGTGCCATGGAATAGTGTGAAAGCTGTGTAGTCCTGTCCCACATCACGTAAGAACTGCCAAGAAAAGCCAGATTCCAGATGGGTCTCAGGTTAGGGTCAATGTATCCATGACTGTCTGAAGGGGAGAAGAAAAACAGATTTGTAGTAAGGCATTTCGGCGTCACAGTTTCAGGTGTAAGCACGCAGCAAGGCCTACCACTGACTGGCGATTTGTTCATAGCTGTTCCTCTATTACCTGGAGACTTACATGCTTCCTCTGGCCCTGCTGACGGAAGAGGATGTCAATTTAAGGTTTCCTTGTTCTGTGTACATGCAATGTAAGAGCTTCGTTGACACTCAAAGTCCATCTGAAGTCAAGGAGTGTTTGTAGTTGGACCGGAAGTCTGCCATTCCGCTCCACAGTAGCGTCTGGTGTGGGACTGCATACCACACGGTGGTGGTTGCCAGCCTGCCAGACAGCTTTGTCCTGATTGTGGCTTTAAAGCTGGTGTATTGGCAGCAGTTTTGTTTTTCGACACATGAAATAAAGTGGGTTTTTCCTATGACATTATTTTTGGAACTGGACACTTTTTGCTTTGGCAAATACTTAATAAAATATAAAAAATATTCTTAGTGTCAGACACTGCCAGAAGTGGGGATACAGTAATTTTATAATAACCTCTTATGACTTCTAGGAACTCGAGTTTTAGCAATTTATGAGCTACCTGGACCATTTTAGGAAAGTTAGTAATGTTTTCCTTAGTCTTTAATAAGGCCCACTAATAGTATAATTCCCAAGGAATGCCAACAGCTTATTAGGTTGGATTCTCCTTGGTAAAATAATCGTTGGCATAAATTCTTCTCTGTATCGGTAGACCTTGACCTACTGGCTTACAATGGTAGTCAGTTCAGAAAGCTTTCTTTGATAGTGTGGGCCACAGGGACACAGGTGGGGCCTGCCCGCCACTTCCACCTGGCAGTGCAGAAGCCAAGCTGGCACCTTCCTTAGCAGTGGAGGACCTGGCTGCGGCTGCAGGGGACAGGAGGGGAGAGGCTTCTCCTCTGGGGCTTGGTGGGGAAGGCCTCACAGAAATGGGTTATGAGCCGGGCTGTGAATTCCTGTCATGGGTCTGGGGGCGCGGGGGGCATGAGAGGCTGCAAATCAGCAACTCGTCAGAAATCTCACCAAGCAGCTGGGTTTAGTTTTGTGAGACTGAAAGCCATCGCCACAGATGATGAGAGACTTTTGTCAGATACCGTGACCAGTGAGAATGCTGGCGAGTTACGTGCCAACCACTCAGCTGCAGTCCCTAGGCAGACGTTAGCTACCTACTCCCAGGCCCTGTAGGAAGTTTGAGTTCATTTGAAAAAGTAAATCTTTTAAATAAAAAATTTAAATAAAAACCAATGCTAGCTTATCAGTTGTAGAGAAAACTGCCTACAACAACAGTGTAATACCTTGGGTCAGTTAAAATAATGACTAGGATCTCCTGATGTTTGAACCAGAAAACCCAAAGACGTTCCCATGGTTTGATTGAGTTTGTCTAAAACCAAACTTTTTATATTATATACACACACACACAGGCCGTAAGTTACCACCATGAAGAGCAAATGGCTGAATTTCTAGTGACAACAAACTTGTAAATTTTGTTGATGCAAAGGGTACTTTATATTTAAAATACGTTTCTGAAGCTTCATAGTAACCACAGTAAGTTAGATTGTTCCAGGATGTTCCCGTGGGCATGTTAGTAACTGGACATGATTCAGTTAGCCAGCACTACTAATAAATTGCCCCAAATCTCGAAACTCTGGCAAACAGTCAAAGAAAAGGCCTGATAAAATTTCTAAAATTTGTGTTTTACAGGGAACATATAAAACCCTATTCCCCTAGGTAACACCAAGAGGGAAAAAGATCCCTAAAATACTAAAGTGTTTATGTAGACATTTATTTGTGTGTTTATTAGCCATTTATTTCAGGTAGCACTAAATACAAGCACATTCTACTACGTGAGGTTTTGAATTGGCCTTCATTCTTTGGAATAGAATTTAAATGAGTACAGAGACTCAGCTTGACATTCATTCAAAAATCTGACTTTCAGGAACTCAAGACGCAGTATTCTACCTCCAGGTTCTTAAGAACACTTAGTCCTCAGGTAGGTGGGCACAGACGCACTCAGGTGGGGATGCACAGGGGACACTGTTCAGTCACTGTGTGGTCAGAGAGAGCCAAGATGGGGTGGGAAGCAGTGGCAGTGAGGCGTCAAGCTTGATACCAAAGTGCAGCCCAGTGGTGACTTTGTGGTTCTCGAAATAGAATTTGCCTGTAAGTGCTGCCGCCTCAGTGCCGCCCACATGCAGAGTGAATGAGCTCAGCCTCAGAGGTCAGGGTTCACTTCTTAGTACAGATGAACCACCGCCATTAGCTCCTGTCCTAAATGAGGTCTGCTGGGCTCTGCAGCTGCCTCCCAGCAAGTCCCAGAGTGGAAGGCATGGTGGGCAGTGTTTCTTGTCAGTGCCTGAGTACCTTAGTGCTCAAAACCACTGCCAGAAGCCTCTAGAAATGTTCTTGGACTCTGCTCCCTGTGAAAACTGCCCCTATGTGCAAGCCCCATTGCAAATGTACCCCCCGATCTGGGAGGTTCTGCTCTTGTTCTGCCTTGTCTTGGAAGAAGGGGCAGTGAAAGGGGCATGGGGCACTGGTAGCCTTTTTATATTCTGGAGATGAAGGACCGGAAATGATACAATGAGTTTTTTTTTTTTTTTAAAGTCTAAAGATCGAAGTGACCATTCCTCTTAAGAAATTCCAGATAGTGGTTCTTACCAGGAATGCTGACTGTATCCAAGGGGCTCTTAAGCTGCTTCATTTGCTTATAAAGCTGGTAGTCCTCCATCTGTCTTCGTTTCTTGTCTATGAATCGCGTACATGTCACATTGACAGCTGGTCTCGGCTTCTCATTCCTGAAAAACACTTGGGCCGAGCACTTCCCTACACGTTCCTCACCATCCTGAAATGAAGATTTAGAATGAAACAAAATGGTTTCTTGTCTCCTCTCTCTCCAGATCGCACAGACTCATGACGGGGTGAGCCTTGTCCAGGTACACTGGCGACTGTGTAGAAAGTGTGTGTGCTCCCAGCTGAACCGGTGGCCCCACCGAATCCTTTACACTGATTTCTGATGGTGATTACAGAATAGGCCTGGACCCTTCCAGAGGCCACTACTGACTGTTGAGCCTGCAGCTTAGAACTCTAAGACAGTGGGTACCTTGGCCTCCCCCATAGACCCACATCGTGCTTTGGGCCTCCAACTCACTGACTTGAACCCAAGGACGAAGCAGGTTTCTGTGAACACCTGTGGTGCCATCTTCCCTACACCTGTGAGTGGGTGCTCTTAGCCCAGTTTGTGGGTGAAAATCATGCTTACAGAGGAAGCGCCCTGTCTCCCAGCCAGGGAGCGGTTAAGCAGGACTTGAGCCCATGGCAAATGGAGGCGCAGTCACCCGTGGGGGCTCCTCAGTACCCGGCTCATGATTCTCATGCATCTGTGTGTGGCCTCTTGCATCCTCACCCAGAACCCCTGCAGCCGAAGGACTTCCTGGTCTTTGGAGACATCTTAGGTCAGTGCACCCCCAGGTTAGGTCAGACCCCTTAAGTTGACAGCACCAGGGAGCCAATTCCAGGAAAGGGCACACAAGCACACACCTTTAAGACGGGCACACCTTCAGCAGGATTTATTTAAGAACAGTCCTGGGTTGCCGCCAGATGCCCTCACACCACCCGCCAGGCAAGAACTCTCACAAAGGAGATGGAAAGAATAGCTGAGGCAGCAATCTTTTCACATTTGCAGTTGTTTAAACTGGGTGGGGTCCCAGTTAAAACAGAACCAAAAAATAAAAAGTCCACAAGGACACAAATTATAGTCAAGATGAGATGTTAAGTAAGCCTATTAAAAGTTTAGTACTGTTAGCCTATCAGTTCATAACTAACTTAAAGCACTAAAACCAACTGTCCAGTCACCACCTCCCTGAGTGCTGGTAGTGAAGGAGAGGGAATGTGACTGGTGTGCTAAAATCCTCACAGTGGCAGCTCTGAGGGAAGCAGCGAGGGAAGCAGTGAAGGAGGCCCTGGGAGGAGGCGGAAGACAACTCCCGGCCTCGGGCTCTAGTGTCAAGGCTGTTCTAAGGAAGAGAAAGGGAACCAGGCCTTGCCTCCATTTGATTTCCTTTCTTTTTTTTCTATGCCCCTAACACGTCATAGACTCAGAGCAGCTGTCTGGGCAGGAAGAAGCTGCTTCGCTCCCTGAGGGAACTGCCCTTGAGCTAGCTGAGTTCTGAGAAACAGCACAGCTTCCTTGACTTGAATCTTACTCATCAATTTGAAAGACTAGAAATCAAAAGTGATTTCCTTAGGCTTCAAAAGATTTTTAGGTTTGTGAGCAAAGTCACAGATTGTCTGGGAAGACTTGTTTCTGAACACTGAGAACCCTTCCAGAGGCGCAGCTGGGGCAGGGGTCTGAGGTCCTGCCTCCCTCACAGTGCTGTCAGCTGAGGCTAATGCCGCTGCCTGCTGGCCCAGCCTCTGACTGAGCCTCACCTGAGGAGAAGTGGCCTGGCTTCTGTTCTACCCAAGTTCTGGTTACCTCCCTGCTTGGCCCAGCCCATGGAAGTTCATCTGCCTCTAAATGGCTACATAAGTTTTTCATTTATTCTCTTCTTGAGAACTGAATGGCGAGGTGAACACCGCCCAGGGCGTGCGCTGCTGTGGCTTCTCTTACAGAATCTCTCACGGTGCCAGCTCTGTTGCTGGTCTCATGCTGGGCCAGCCTGCTAGCGGGAAATGTCATCAGCAGTCGGAAGAGCCAGGGTTGGCATTTGAGTGAGTCATTTAAGGATTCTGAAGTCTAGAAGCTGTGAAACTCCTTCCCAGGGACAAGGGGGGGAGGAGGGGAGGGGACTTTGTGGAAAGTTTTAAGTGCAGCCCTGCTTACAGCATGAAGTTGAAACAGTTAAATCTCAAGTCCCTGCATAGTTAATTCTGTTCTTCAATTCTTGAGAATAGGAAACAAGGGAGGAAAAAAACCCTTTTAGAGAGTACATATTAATGTTCCTTTTTTTAAAAAAATCATATGAATTGTTAACAGGACACCCCTGACCCCTGATCCTGGCAGCTTACCTCTGGGTTGTAGCGTTCTGTAGTAAATACCAGGTCTACTTTACAGTCATTTTTGGGATTCACCTGAAATACAGAAAATGTGTCTTAGCACAATGGTGTCTCCATTAACATCCTCACATCCATGAATCCCTGTTGGGACAGCATAGCCTGCACATGCTAGCTCTAACATTTGTGCTCAAATTAACTGGTGATTTTTTTTCAGAATAGATTTTTGGTCAGATCATGACACTGCTTATTAATACTTGACACCTTCCAGAAAGGGAGCTTGAGAAGGGAAAAGGTGTTGAGGCTGAGAGTTGATTGAGAGCAGTTAGAGGAAAGTGAATCCTTCACTTGCCCCCAGCTCCTAGGGCCACTCTGCTGTCTGGGTGCTGGGCCACAGGGACCCTGAGGACTGGTCTCCGTGCCACTCACCATTTATCACTGTGCCCAGAGAAATGATTTTCAGGTGTGGTGGTAGACAGGTGGAGTGGATGCGACTGCTTTTACCAAGGTGTCAGAAGGTGTGCTGGAGCAGATTTTGCTGAGGTTATAGGACAGCAGGGAGCAGCCACAGCCAGACCGGGCAGGCCGGGACCTGCAGGTGAGGCCTGAGGTAGGACTTGCAGAGGGTGTGTGGCCTGGGCAGGGTGAGTAGGCAACACGGAGCATATCCTGGGTGTTGCCGTCCTTCCTCGGCTTGCGTAGCAGGCCTGCTTTCAGGTATTAGAAAGGCATGTTTAGCCTTTCTGAACTTAATTGCTTCCAATGCCTATTGAGTGTATGCACACCCAGGCCATGGAAGCAATTTAAGCTGTGTTAGAAGAACTTTGTTACTTGCCCCCAACTTTTTTTTTTTTTTTTAAGATTTATTTATTCATACAGAACTGGGATACAGGCCAGAGATGCGGAGGGTGAGAGGATTCCCCAGAGACAGAGTGGGGAGCAGAACAGGCCGACTGACAAAGTACACTGCTGAGGAGAGCAGCGGACGGGTCAGGAGAGGTCTGCCACACCATGTGGATCTCCTCTGGGGCAGGCGGGAATCGAACTCATGTGGAAGTGGCTTAAGCTTCTTAGTGCTGTGCTTTAACCCGCTGTGCCACCAGGGAGGGCCCAACAGCTCCTGTTTTAATGAGGTCCTGAATCTTGATGCCAAAGTCCATGGGGAGCCCCGCAAAGTAAACACAGATATACTGAGGGTGCTGGTAAGAGTAAGATTTGGCACTGAAAGGACTCAGCATGGAGGTCAGTGTACGCTCATCTTGGTATCATGTGAAGATCTGTAGTCATGAGGAAAGGACAGCTGTACTAGAAATGGATCTGGCCCAGTTTCACGGCCAGGGACCCCCACCAAGGCAGCTTCCCTTTGGTTATCCCCAAAGTCCCCCTGAACCATATTACAGGGTACAGTGGAAACTGATGGAAGAGGCAAGACAAGATGTCCTCACGGTGGGCCTCACTGCCCTGTCCATTACAGGAACACACAACTGCGCCTTGCTGGCTCACGGGACACCCCCAGCCACACTCGCATCACCAACCAACTAAATCAGAGGCTGCACCCCCCATGGCCAAGTGGGCTAAGCCTTGCCATGACTGCTATTCGTTCCATGCAGGACCTTGGACCTGCTCTCTGTGTCCATTTGGGGGGTAAGCGAAGCCTTCTGCACTAGAGGCTGCCAGGAGTGGGGGGTAAGAGGAGGAAGAGGCCAGGGAGGGGTAAGAAGAGGAAGAGGCAGCGTGAGGGTAGAATCTGCGCGTGTGTGGCGTGAACCGGAAAAGGCTGAAAGTGAAGGGAATTCAGTAGAGGTGGTGGTGGTTGAAGCTGCGGAATTGAATGCAGCCCCAGGGAAGTCTGTCCCTGGGCAGACTGAGGACTGGGTGCCAGCAAGTCATTAAATGATGAAATTGCCACACACCTGTTTGCTACGCACAGGGATTCACAAGTCTTCCTCCTCGTTGACATAACTACATACTTTAAATAGAAAACTTGAGATACTGTTTGACTCAGCAGCTTCTTGAAGACGCTCAGCGGTATGAGGTGCCTCCATATTCCTTGTAGGGGAAGAAACTACTGTTCAAAGATGGGCGCCAAGTCAGACGAGCCTGTCCAGAAGAGCTGTTTGCCTTGCTGATTTGATTTGATTTGAAGTAAGCACTCTTCAAAATGGCTTCATTTTGTCCACAATAAGATTTTTATGTTTTTGCTTGTACTTTACCATTTATTAAGATTCGGCTCCTTTATCTGCCTCAGAGGCCTCTAGCTTCTCCCCTCCTGTGAGTCACAGTCCCCCGCCCCTGCCAGGCGGCTCTGCGGGTTCTCTTGAGATAGGGCCTGCAGGGCCTGCAGGCAGTCTTGCCAGCAGGGCCTCCGTCTGGGACAAAGTGTCTCCTGTCCGGTCTCTCAGGACTGGGCTTTGCTTTCTCTGTCTCTGATTAAAATCAATCTGTGATAAGAGGCCTTTGCTGGTCAACATCCACCCAGGGCTTTGTTGTGTGCTGTGCTGGGTGCCAGATGCAGGAAAAGGGGACAAAATGACCTCCTCACCCCCGCCTCAGGCATCAGCTGGGGAAAAAGCCTTTAAGTAGGTTATTGGCAAATTGATTTATTTGATTCTGGCTGACTTAAGAGCTATGAAATGATAACTGGAGAGCTGATTCAGTCTCAGGGCCAGGGAGCTGCCACTTGAGCTGGACTCTGAGGAAAGGGTTCTTTCTTTTAAAGATTTATTTATTTATGCATACAGGGAGTTGATTTGAGGTGAGAACAAACCATTCTAAGAGTAAACAGCTGTAGACCCCGAGGCCAGCCAGTGGGCCAGAGGCCAAAAGACAGGTCCCTGGTTCAGAAAGCCAGCTGGGTAAGCAAGGGTCACCACTGCAGCTAAGGTGAGAGAAATGGAAGCTTCTGGAAGAAGGAGGGATTCTGAGTAGATCCCTCCAGCGTGGAAGAGGGTGTGTGTGTGAGTGATGTTGCCCAGAGTAGTGGTGAAGGGGGTTGCTGAGTAGATGGAGGAGACAGGTGTCAAACCAAGGTGAGGGCTGCAGACAGGAGTGGACTATTGGGTGGGCAAATGGAGTGCTCTCAGGAGGTGAGACCATCGTTAATTCAAGGCCTTAGGTGGTCCCTGGTATAGAAGTTCAATGTGAAGACATTAAACCAGTTTGCATCATGCACATGATGCTCGTACTTAGAACCTCTCCATGGGTCCTGGGCCGGGGACTGTGCTCAGTACTTTTGAGGAGTGTGGGCAAACTGTCCCTCCGAGTCAGGGTCTCTGCCCTCGGGCTTGCATATGGGCTGCTACAACCTTGGTACAAGCTAGTACATTCATTCAAAGCCATTTTAAAAAAAAAGGGCCCGCCCTACTGGCACAATAGGTGAGGACCCAACACTGCAAGCTGGCCACAGCCACTTCAGTGTAGGTTCTATTCCTGGCCCTGGAGGTGACCCCACATGGCACAACAGACCCCTCCTGACCCACCCGCTGCTCCCCTCAGCAGTGTACTTCATCAGTCGGCCTGTTCTGCTCCCCACTCTGTCTCTGGTGAATCCTCTCACCCTCCACACCTCTGGCCTGTTCCCCAGTTTTGTATGCATCAATAAATAAATCTTAAAAAAAAAAAGATAATTTTGAAATATCTGAAGCTGACACTAGGGAGAGGGGGCACAGTCTGGCTCCTCGAGATGAGAAGCCTATTCCCTAGCAATAGACACTGCTCCCCACACTGCTGAAACTGCCATCTGCAAAACAGGTCAGGAATTTTACATCCCTCTCTCTAGCCAGAGGCATGACATATTGTGCTCATATTTTCCAGAATAAAGTCTTTATATAAAAGAAAGTCAGCAACAAAGCCATTGACCATGTGACCACAGAACCTGAAGGAATGAATTAGGAGCTCTTCACTCCAGATTTCTTTTTAATTATGTATAAGGAAGACTTCTGTGCGGTAGCCTAGAACTAAAGGCTTTACTAGCGTGGACCACTAATGGCAAAGTTAGGCTCTAATGGTCTTGTGTCTTGTTTTCTAGGTTTCTTGAGTTTTGTACCCAGTCTCCTGTCCTCTCCTGTGCTCCATGCCAGGGAATGCCTTAAAGCTCTTCTGAGGAATGAGCAGCGCTTTGATCCAGGCAGGCGGCAAAAGAATATAGGCTGGGCAAGTCTGTAAAGCATGGGGCTTCTCACACTTGGGTGGGTTTTTTGTTTGTTAGCTCTGGTTTAAAATGCCCCTCAGGGCCTCCCTGGTGGCCCAGGGATTAAAGTCTCAGTGCTTTCGGGTTGTTGCCAGCCACCACAGCCTGAATTCAACCCCTGGCCAGGGAGCTGACCCACATGGCGCAGCAGACCTCTCCAGTCTCACAGCTGCTCTGCTCAGTAGTGTAGTTCAGTGGATTCCTTGTTCTGCTCCCCACTCTATTTGGTGGATCTACCTCTGGCCTGCACCCCAGTTCTTGTAGGCATAAATTGAAATAAATCTTTTTTTTTTTTGAAGATTTATTTGTATATACAGAACTGGGGTACAGGCCAGAGGCTCAGGGGCGGCGAGAGGCTTCACCAGAGACAGAGTGGGGAGCAGAACAGGCAGATTGATGAAGTACACTGCTGAGGGGAGCAGCGGGCGGGTCAGGAGAGGTCTGTCACGCTATGTGGTCACCTCCGGGGCAGGTGGGACTCGAACTCATGCACAAGTGGCTTTAGCTTCTCAGTGCAGTGCTTTAACCCGCTGCGCCACCAGGGAAGGCCCAAATTGAAATAAATCTTAAAAAAAAAATTGAACAAGGTACTATTTATACAATAAAATGCCCCTCAACGTCTTGTCAAGCCCATAGGGAGCACGCGCTGGACCTGGAGGGACTCAGATGAAAGTGACAATAAACTGAGCTCCAACTTAGCTCTTCAGGTCCTGAGTATGGCTAATCATGTGTCAGGAGCCCTTTGAGGGAGATACTATTTCCATTTTGAGGATGAAGAAATGGAGGCATTGTTCAGCGTCAAGGACTTTCCAGTCACAGAGTTAGCAAGGAAGGAAGGAAGCTTGCTTGAGCACTGCCCCTTTGCCCTTACACCACACCAGCCATAGCT